GAAAATGCACTCATTTGCCATTCAAAAATTCCTTAGAATAAAATCGTCCCCCCCCCCCCCCCTCCTGCTTCCCCTGCCACTGGCAGTCCCGCTCCCTCACCTCCAGCAGTCTGTCCTGCCCACACGTCCCAGACAACCGCTCCACAGAACCCTTTCCATCCAGAGGTACCACTAGACCTCCCACCCCCATACCACACCCCAAACCCCAGCCCTAACTCAATTTAAGCCCCTGTCCTGTGGCACAGCTTGGAGAATCTGCCCACCAGAGGCAGGATGACAGCCAGTGTCTGTAGGAGGCAGTGATTTCTATGAAAATTTGCAGGTTAATTTGTATCTCTGATCAATAACTAAGTTAGTACTATGATTGGGCCTAGGTTTAGGGTGTAGGATATACTGACAGAGGGCTTGGGCTATAAGGGTGGGCTGTAAGATCCTGTTTCAAATCAAGCTTATACATCTCTGCTGACTGCAACACTAGTGCTGCCTAACCCAAACCAGTCCTACAGGCACAATGCCAAAGCGCTAACAAGCTGCATCAAAAGCAGCGTGGCCAGCAGGTTGAGTGAGGTGATTCTCTCCCTCTACTCCACTCTCATGGTACCCCAGCTGGAGCACTGCATCCAGCTCTGGGTACCCCAGCATAAGAAGGACACGAGTCCAAAGGAGGCCCATGAAGACGATCCCGAGAGTTGGGATTGTTCAGCCTGGAGAAGAGAAGATTCCATGGAAACCTTATAGCAGCCTTCCAGTACCTAAAGGGTGCCTACAGGAAAGCTGGAGAGGGACATGTAGTGATAGGATTAGGGGTAATGGCTTCAAACTGGAAGAGAGTACTTTTAGATCAGGTATCAGGAAGAAATTTTTCACTGTGAGGGTGGTGAGACACTGGAACAAGTCGCCCAGGGAAGCTGTGGATGCCCCATCCCTGGAAGTGTTCAAGGCCAGGCTGGATGGGGCTTTGAGCAACCTGGTCTAGTGGGAGGTGTCACTGCCCATGGCAGGGGGGTTGGAACTAAATCATCTTTAAGGTCCCTTCCAACCTAAACCATCCTATGACACAATTCTATGACACGATTATACTTCAGGCAAATTTACTATTAGAGCTACTAAATACCACCAGACCTTTCCAATTCTAGGCTTTGTTCTAGACCTGACAGTTTTACTGGATCTGGAAACCAACTGAAGACTAAATCACCTGCTTTCTGAACCCAAATAGTCAACTCATTCTGCACCTCTAATCTTTCCCTTTAACCATTTACCCTCTACAACCCTTCAGAGTTCCTGGAGTTGCAGCTCGTAGAAAATCAGCCCTCAAAAGCAGGTCAGCACATCTGGCAGGATCTAGCAATCGTCCATACTTGTAAACTCCTCCTGCTCCTACAGTAGCCCTCTCTGGAGATACCACAGGCCAAGGACTCCAACTGATTCGAGAACATGATATTCACATGATACTGATGCATGGTGTCTGCAACCTGCCAATAAACTAAGTCCATATGCTCCTGCTTTCCTGTGCCCCAGTCCTAACTACGCTTATTATAGTTTTATAGCTATTATAGGACCTCAAAATAAACTAAGAGAGCACCTGCCCTCAACCTTAAGTTTTTACCTCCTTCCCTTTGGTTTGAGGATCTGGGGAGCCAGATCTCACCTTGTACAGCCAGGTAAGTTTCCAATGCTACCTCTTCTCATCTTGATCACCCACAAAAAGATATTCAAAGACAACTTTCACGAACTAGAAGAGTAGAGGAAACTGATAATATTTGCTTTTTCCCCCTCTATAACTACTTTTAAAATGCAATCTTTTATGGTATTATCAAATTAGAGTCACGATTGTATTTTCTCATCCATACTTTTTTTACGCTCTAGTATTGTCAGAAAGGACTTATTCTCTCTCAGTATAACCTACGTTTAGCTTTTTAAAGATACTTATCTCCATCTTTAAGTGTGGAAGTCAGCTGCCCTGTTTCAGCATTTGAAGTTAACTGCCAGTCAGTCGTGTTCAGGTTCCTTTGTAGTCAATGGAAATAATTAGGCACCTTGGGAGGCTGATTCAACTCATTCTAAGATACTTATCTAACACAAGGCATACGGATGGCTCTGAGGCTGTGTATTTCTTTGCCCTGGATATAAAGGGAATCAAAGGGAAAAAAATATATTTAAATATTTAATTGTAGATTTTAAGTTAAGCAAAATTAATCCACCTAAGCTACCGTGTTGTTGAGATTTCCTCTCTAATGACGTTGCAGTATTTCAGCATTTTAATATATGATTCACATGGGAGGCAAACACATGGAAGCTACTGCAATCACTGCCACTAGTGATGATGAACAACAATAAAAATAAACTCCTGCTGGCAAAGTGGGAGTGTGCTTCATAGGTATCCTATTTTTTATAACAATGGCTTTCTCCTTTGTGTTCCTCTCATTTGAATACCCCCGAGAGGTTTAAAAACACTGAGTACTACCTTTTACTAAACATTTTTCCTGAGATGTCTTTTTTATTTTTCCACTATAACACATTAACATGTTCAGCAGAGACCCAAGAAGACAACTGATTAAATTAGTAGCATTCTAAAATGGTCAATAGTAACCCTTATTCCTTATAACCAGAATTAAGAATAAACAGGCATAACTAAGCAACACAGAAGTCAGTATTTTATTCAAAGAGATCGAAAAAATCCCATACATGCAAAACATGGCATGCTGTACAAAAACAATGTTGAAATCATCAATTTTTTAACTTCTTCCCAGTTTGAGGATAACAGTGCCACGAGAATTTACCAGCTCTACAACGCTCTACAAGACACTATGGTCCTGACAATACCTAGAATTCATAACCTAATCTGATCAGAAGGAAAACACATTTAGTATGGGGGATGGAAATGACCACCCCTCAAACCTGGCACAGCCGTTCTGCCCCATGGTGTATTTGCACACCCCTCCATTAGTTTGGCCCAGCAGTGCTGCAGTCAATAGGAATTTTGTGAATCATTTCAGTGGAAACAGATTCTGTGATAACATGGACCTCTGAAAGGAGGGAGGCAGTCCTTCCTGTATGAGTAGATACCTAACGCTGACGCAAGTAAAAAGTGCAAAGAAAGAAAAGATGTGTTGGATTATAGCTGAGCTCCTTCCAAATGAAAACATACCTTACAGCCTCTCACACATTTCCTCTTCTAGAGAGAAAATGTCTCTTCTTTGAACAAATCTGTTCAAATCCTTCTCATACTAACTCTTCCTAAGGCTGAAGAGATTGTATTATTTAAGTTGTTAGGAAAAATAAGATTAAGAAATTCTTTAACTGAAACAATTTAAATCATCTCTCAAGAAATATCTTAACCAAATGCCTACTCAGTAAGCATTTAAAATCTACTTCTAAACTGAATGAACAAATAAAAATGTAGCATGGGGATGTTTTATATTTCTTAATATATTTTCGTTGCTGCAATTATAATTATTTTGAATACTCAGGAGATGTTAAAAATTGTAAATTTTCTTGTGTGTGCATGCAAGCACAGATCTAAACATTCATACATGTACAAAAATACATTCAGGAAGAATCTTGCAAAAATTAATGAAAACTTAGTAAGTACAACACAACAATTAAGTTTTTGAAAGGGATAATTATGCTCTGCAAAGACTCTAAGTGTCTTCTTAAACACAGATATTCAACTGAAAGTATGATCCGAGATAAATAATGTTTCTATAATACACTTCCTATTGCAAAAATCACTATGCTTCTCAAGCAACATTATTCCCTTTTGAAATGTGTTATTTTGAAAACAGAAATCAGATATGAAAAATGAAAAGATGACTGATTTCAAAAGGTTTCACTTGTCTACAAAACTATTATGTTTTCATCACGCAAAATGTTATCAAAATCAAGTAGAAATGACGTGTTCCAATCCTGAATTCTCCAGGAATTCCTCAGTTGACCATTTTTCCCAGTCCAGTTAGGAGGTGACCATCTCTATCATGCCTCCAAGACAATGAAAAGAGAGCAGTCTCAGCACAGAGCACGTCAAAGAAACAGCCTGACTTCATCTGACACGTCATTTTGCTGAACTGCCCACGTGAGGACCAACAGCCACCTTCGCCTAAAGAGAGATGAACATTAAACAAATCTCCTACATTAAGTTAACTCTAAGTTAACACAATGTGAATACCCACCAAAATCCAAAAAGGATAAAAAGGGGGATTCAGGCAATGCTGTCCTGAAAAACTGGTTCACTAAGAACAGACCTTTAAATGGCAGGTCATAAGAAGTAGGAAAAAACAAATTGACTCCCTTTATCAGATTAGCCTCACTAGGAAAGAAAAGGCTTAACGTAATACACTGCAGACATACCTATTTCCAACTCCCACCACTTTACTTTTCGTGATGTCTGTGGCACATCACTCGAGATAAGGATAGGCCAGTTTCAGTCTCAGCTGAATGTTCTTTCTTCTGGTGAAACCTTTAGTGATAAGTAAGCATTCAGGGGTGTTTGGTATAGCATTTCCTTTCATCTAATCAGAAACCGTTTAATCCATTCACATATGAAAGCCACATACAGGTTTCTACTGATATCACTTGACTACATATCAGATACCAGATCTATTGCACACACACACAAGCAAAATAATAATAGTCCACCTCTGCTTCACAGGAAACTTCCTCACAGAAAAAGTAATCTTAATGAAAACAAAGACTTCCGATAACAGAGAACAGTTCACACTTTAACTGGAAGATAAATAATGTTAATGAATAAGGACTGAAATAGATTTTTTTTAAAAAACTTGTCTTTTACAGTTTAAATAAAAGCTTATTGATTACGAGAAAATGTAGGCATTAACTTGTAAAATTATGAAATACATAAAGATGAAAGCAATTGTTAGAATGTAGTTAAGCATTTTAACATTACATTTGTTCATAAGATTTTTAGAATCAGCTCTTGGCTTTCTTCTCCAAAAATATGGATGGAACCATAACTTAGGTCATTGCTTTTTTGATTTACAAAAAAAAATAACTTCAATTCTTCAACTTTTGTAGGCTCTCCCACTGTTTAAAAAACAAAACCAAAGCAAGCCCAATATAATAAATAACATCAGTTCTTAAAACAGTGTGGCAACCCATAAGGCTGCCTTATCGGGCTCTGATGAAAAGGGTTTCATCAGGAGTTGTAGGACAATTCTCCACCTCAGTAACAGTCTCTACTGTGCCCGAAGCAGACACAATTACTACTGTTTTAGCTGCTGAAAGAGCTTTCTCCTTCTCTGCGATAGCAGCACAGACTGCCACAATTTCATCACTCTCAAAGTCATAGTCAGGGATTGATTCTTGTGCAACCTCTTTTTCGTTTGCCACTGCTTGCACGGCCTCAGTCTTTGTTGCCTTCTGCTGTTCATGTAGTTTTCTTGCCCAGGAAAGGTCCTCTTTCCATACTTCAGGGTTCATTGGAAAGATGTGTAAGGACACCTGGAAACTTCGGATTGCCTATAAACAGAATAGGAAAGAAACCAGGATTAGAAACGTTAAAGCCAACATATTTCATCATAGAAATTAACAACAACAAAAAAAATAATTACATACATCCTTCAAGCAAAGACAAACGTGATTTTACTCCAGTCTGTCTTTAGTGGAACAATCCTCCCTCAGCTGCAAGTTCAATAGCAGCGTTACCCCGAAACAACTGTGCATACAAGTGTCTGAAAGTACCAACAACGCATGAACAAATCAGGCACCTGGCAACCAGGGCAAAAATAAAGAGTTCACATGTCAAAAATACTATTGTAATTAAAAAGGTAAATGCAGAAATAATTTTTGTCTTGATCATTTTCTATCCTACTGTTCTCCTACCATCAGATTTACGGGTAGGCAAAAGCAGACAGATATGGTTTAAAGAACTAGAGAAAAGGGATTTGAAGTATCACTGATATTGCTGCTTTTAAATTAGCATGCAGTCATTTCACATACATACCTAATACTACAGTAATCCTAGCCCCACGACAAGGAGTTTGTGCAACAGGTTTGTGGTTGCAAATACACTTACCTAAACAGGCAAAAGTTGACAAATAAACTCCCAACTTGGAGTTGCTCTAAGAAAGAACTCTTATAATTTTATAAATGATGTAATATTAATACAAGTAAGTATAGCTGATACCGTTTCTCCTGTCTTTCAGCTCAATTGGGAATGGTCCCACAAATGCAAATACTCATCACAGAAGTTGTTAAATATAAAACAAGAAGAGATTGATACAATGCTGGAAAAATGCTACACCAAGAATTGTAAATAGTTATATTAACAGTGAAAAGGTCAAGACTGACCTTACCTACTCAGACTTATGTGTCTTATACGCACAGGCATGTGTGTATTTCACATCTGTGACTGTATGGTCAGTTACCGAAATGGCCACCTGAGTGACCAAAGTCTTGTGTGACAACGTACAGAAGCCATCCTGTAGGGTGGGAAAGCAGTGATGATATGGATTTGGATTATAATTGGCAGGAGTTCTAGCAACTTGCATATAGAGACTTTAAAGACATATGAACAACCATCGAATTCCATATTCTGTTGTAACTTATGAATACTTAAAGCATGCAAATTAATTTGAAAAATCACAACATTTCATCTGCACTGAAAGAAACTAACAATTCATCCTTCTGCTTGCACAGATTAATATACGACCTTCGCATAATGTGAACTCAGCAGACAAGAGATACAAATCAGATTCAGGAAATGCTGATTATGCTATCAGTATATACGCTGTTGTAATAGGCAGCCTTTCAGTTCCAGGAAAAAAGATAAATACTTCATTACTGGTCCACAGTGAGCTCTGAAGTGTAGGAGTATGCTGAACTTCAAACAGAAGGGGGAGTGCTGTTTAATTCTTGCAAAATAGTGCCATTTTATTCAACTTTACTAGCTTTTAATTTCCAGGGATAGATTAGCTACAAGTAAACACTAAATGCTCTTTTTTTGTATTTCTGTTGAAAATAAAGTATAAACAAACACTATCTGCTTTTAAGCTTTCTGTGAAAGAGGTCCTCTAATTAAAACCTGTCTATAATAAATGACATTAAACACAGCACTCATATACAAGGTAAAATTTAATAAGCTTAGAAGCTGCCTAGATGATTCATGCAATACAGCATAAAATGATCATCTTTGTAAATCTATTAGAAAAAAATAACCTGTGTGACAGTTTTATAAATTATAAAAGAAAAATAAAGTAATAAAACAATAAAGTAAATTCTAAGTGATGCAAAAGTCCAGAGGGATTCATTTTAATGCAGCAATATAATACTGAAACATACAGAATTGTCATCCACACAAAATTTCATGTTGCCACTGTAACTGCTTCCACAGCCATTAATTTATATTAAGACAGGAGAAAAGAAAATAACAATGCTACTTTTAATTCTCCCACTGACAGAGATGTAAGTCTCCTTCCCCAACTGCCTGTCTGGCATTAAAAGAAAATGTGGTGGCACTAGATAAACTTGGTTATTTCTAGCCTCATTTTAACAGGCAGCTCTCGTCTTAAGAGACCCTGCATGTAAGGACTACGGCATTTTAAATCAGTATGTAGTCACATATCAGCTTTTGCTTCTGTAAGGAAGACTACTGTAAAATCTACTGCAAGACATTCTCACTTGTGGAATTACAATATGTGAAGAATTTGTATTTTTAAAATATTTTACATTTCGTCTCACTAGAGGGTATTCTGTAGCAAACAATCTCTCATTTGTCCCATGAGCAGAATCTCTTCTGCTGGTTTTCAGAGTCTTTAAATACAAAGGGCAGTTTTGATCAGACTACACCTTTTATACGTGTTTTTATAACACATGGACCTAGTAATTGTCACTATAAAATGACCCCTAAAAAAAGTAAGGGAGCATTTTATGAGGTTATGCAGTTCACATCTGTCTCCAAGGTTTGTACTAGGTTACACTTGACAGAAGCTATCTAACCTGTTTCAAAGGATGTTCATCAGTGAAGATATGTATAGATTTGTAAGCAATCTTTCTCTGTATTTAATGATCCTTAAATATGGATTTTTTACAGTACCCAACACATATCCAATCTATTTTACAGCATCTAAAGTATATTCAATCTATTTTACAGCATCCAACATATATGCAATATGCCAGCCAGACCCTCCTCTTGGGGAAGTCTGCTGCCTCCCTGGGGCCCGGGTTAAGGGCATCACCAGGGAACTTCCCAGCCTGGTACAGCCCTCGGACTACTACTCATTATTGCTCTTCCATGTGGGTTGTGATGAAGCCGCAACGCACAGTCCAAGGGGCATCAAAAGAGACTCCAGGGCCTTGGGACAGCTGGTAAGGGAATCTGGAGCACAGCTTATTTTTTCCTCTCTCCTGCCAGCTGCAGGCAGCGATACTGGAAGAAACTGACCGATCCAGTCTACCAATACATGGCTCCGTGCCTGGCGTCACCACCATAATTTTGTTTTTTTTCAATTGGTGTCAAGCGGGGTTCATCTTTCTCAAAGAGGAAGAGGGTCTTTGCTCACAAGCTAGCGGGGCTCATTGACCAAGATTTCAAATACACTTGATAGGGCAGGGTTTCATCATCAGGCTTGCCTGTGACAATCAGAGGGATGACACACCAAGGTTAGAGGGATGGGGTGTTAGCAGGGCCCTCAGCCTCTTACTCTGAGACATGCTGGCTACGCTGCAGAACATTTGAAGTCTTACAGAGATGAGCCAGGGGCTCCTGAGGTAATAGGAGCCAACAGGGAAACACCAGTGAAATACCTCAAAGGAATTAAAGGTTCTTCCTCTAGGAAGGTGACACAGCCGACAGCCCAGCTGAAGTGCCTCTACACCAATGCACACAGCATGAGCAACAAACAGGAGGAGTTGGAAGCCACTGTGCTGCTAGAAAGCTCTGACCTAGTTGCCTTTACTGAAACTTGGTGGGATGAATCCCGTGACTGGAGTGCGGCTATTGATGGCTACAGGCTGTTCAGAAGGGACAGGCGAGGAATGACAGGCACTTCCCTCTACATCAAGAAATGGATAGAGGGTGAAGAGCTGTCTCTGAAGAATAGCCATGAGCAGGTTGAAAGCTTGTGGGTCAGAATTAGAGACCAAGGGAACCTTGTGGTTGGTGTCTACTACAGGCCACCTGATCAAGAAGACCCCATTGCCAAAGCCTTCTTACTCCAGCTACAGGAGGCATCATGCTCACAGGCCCTCATTCTTCAACAACTCCAAAATCTGCTGAAAAAGTTGCACAGTGAGTTGTACGCAATCCAGGAGACGCCTGGAATGCATCAAGGATAACTTCTTAAGCCACGTAATAGACAGTCCTGCCAGAGGGGATATGGTACTGGACCTGATGGTCACCAACACTACTGAACTAATTGGTGATGTCAAGACTGGAGGCAGCCTGGGCTGCAGTGATCACGCACTGGTGAAGTTCGCTGTCCTGAGGAATACAGGTCAGGCAAGGAGTAAAGTCAGGACCCTGAATTTTAGGAAAGCAAACTTCCAGCTGTTGAAGGAGTCAGTCAATAGGACCTCCTGGGAAATTGCTCTGGGAGACTAGGGAGCAGAACAGAGCTGGCAAAGCTCTTTTCTTAGAGCACAAGAGCTCATGATCCCCAGGTGTAAGAAATCAGGAAAGACAGGCGAGTGACCAGCATGGCTGAGTCGAGAGCTGCCAGTCAAACTACCTGTCAAGAAGGAAATGCACAGGCAGTGGAAGCCGGGACAGGTATCCTGGGAAGAGTACAGGGCTGCTGCCCAGTCGTGCAGGGATGGGGTCAGGAAGGCCAAGGTGCAGCTGGAACCGCACTTGGCAAGGGACAAAAGAATAAGAAGGGCTTCTACAGGTATGTCAGCCAGAAAGAAAACAGTAACAATGGACAAAGGGGAAGGCTGAGGTGCTTGACAACTTTTTTGACTCAGTCTTCACTGGCAATCTCTCTTCCCACACCTCTCCAGTGGATGGATCGCAAGGCAGGGAGTGGGGGACCAAAGTCCCTCCTGCTGTGAGAGAAGATCAGGTTTGTGACTACCTGAGGAACCTGAACATACAGAATTCTATGGGACCTGATGAGATGCATCCCAGAGTGCAGAGGGAATTGGCTGATGTGGTTGCCAAGCCACTCTCCATGATATTTGAAAAGTCATGGCAGTCAGGTGAAGTCCCTGGTGACTAGAGAAGGGAAAATATTGCACCCATTTTTAAAATGGATAGAAAGGAGGACCCTGGGATCTACCAACCTGTCAGCCTCACCTCTGTGCCTGGGAAGGTCATGGAACAGATCCTCCTAGAAGCTATGGGAAAGCACGTGGAGGACAGGGAGGTGATTTGAGACAGCCAGCATGGCTTCACCAAGGGCAAGTCCTATCTGAACAACCTACTTGCCTTCTGTGATGGAGTGACTACATCAGTAGACAAAGGAAGACCTATGATGTAGTCTATCTAGTCTATCTAGACATGACTTTGGCATGGTCCCCTA